CACTACATAGAAACGGTTAGTCAGTTTGATCAATGTACACCGCAAGGCAGACCTCCATGGCAGTGATGCTAATTAAAAATTGAAATTATAGAATGGCATCACGATCGAAATGTATTCGCCCAAAAATACTGCATATACTCTATTGGCTGCCGGTGTAGTAACTCTCAAACCCCTTCTACAGGTTCGTTCTCTTATCTTTCCTTGAAACTTTTGGGAGATTCCTCTATGAGTTTTATTTTTCATTACTACATCACATTGCATCAGTTTTTCTGCCACTTACATGAAACATTCCACAGGCGCTCGTTTGCCCTCACCAGGAAGTTCCTTCAGGACGTGAAGGGCTTCTTCTAAAGGGTTTCATGCATTTTATAGGGGGTCGTGCGTGGAGCATGAAACTGAGAATGACTTTTCTGAGCGGATCTGAGATGCCAAAAAATATGTGGAAACATGGCCTGTGGTTCGATCCCACTAAAGACAAATTTTTGCATTTCTCTGATTTCCACTTTCTTACCCTCCTATATGCCTGAACTCATTCACTCAACAAAAGCCTACTAACATGCAAGTATTCAACGTTACGTACAAGTGCTGTATAGTACACTAAAAACCTAAATGTAAGTTTCGTCCCTTTTTGCCTTTTTCTTGCACTCCCAGGGCCACTTCACAAAATTTCATTTGTTTTATGCTCTACTCACGGCTCCCATAACAAGCAAGAAACCATTACGGAAAAGCCGTCCATGTTCTGAACGACTTTTCTGGTTAGGCTTTGCCTCCACTTGTACAGCCTCAGTGTCAGACCCTTCTTTGGCAACAATCTTTGCGAGTCAAGCGATGTGTTCCAACATTGTTCGTGAAGGCACCCAAGCTGAAGGTTGACCTCGCAGACATACGAATTTCTGATTGATACAAATTTGAGTGGAATGCGTGGCGCAGACGGAAGGATTCAAGTATGACGGACCTCCTCGATGGCCTGTGTCGCTTCCCGTTGTTCTCGACGTTCCCAAAAGATCTTATTTTTGAAAACCAATACCTCATGAATCCTCAACCCCTTTGCCACTGGCATTTTAATCCGCAGTTCATTTTCGTCAGAAACAGCTACACGATGATTAAATGGCTCAGTAGCCCCTCTTAGCAATTTGAGCCTGTTCGCATCTCATAGTATATCCTGAACTAACCGTCTTCTACAGGAACTTGGAACAAAGAGAACCCCTGCTTGCTCAATGGCTGAAAGATTAACCAGCACTGCCTTTTCATTTAGAACACGGTGGGTAGCATAGAATTGTTTGCGAAGTTTACAGAGCGCCATTCACTTAACTCAAAAGTTGGAGATAAGGGGGTACGGCCTCGATAATGTTCAAGATTGGTGGCTGTGAGTGGTAGCATGTCGCTACCCATGCAGTGGCTGGGTATCCGTGCCCTCTCGTGCGGCCAGGGTCAACCCTACGTTGCTACAAGTAGCAACGGGGGGTCGTACTTGGATGGACTTGGAGGGGGGTCGTAGGTAGCACGAAACATGTGATGAGATGAGAGCGCGCTGGAGAAAATTTGCCGTTTCAGCGTGCGTATACCCCCCCCCCCCCTCCTCCCTAGAATATATAGCGATGGAAGTAGAGGTAAAATATTAGGTTGTCTCATAAGTAGTGGCGCATTTTTTCAAACGGAAATTTTTCTTGTGAACCTCTAATGTTTTACAATGTTTCATATACCATTCGATAGGAAATTATCTGCTCTACAAGAAGGTATGTACCCTTTTTTTGATTGTTGCAAATTGTTTGAGTTTTAGGCATGCAAAGTGGGAGCTTCAGACGACGAATTTTTGCCAAACCGACAGCTGACCTAAACTTTATACTTCCCTAGAAGAAATCAATCAATAATGTAACTATAACTTACTCATAACCTCTACTAAACATTCCACATTTAGGTTCCCTAAAAGCTTGTCTCGTTTAATTTTGAGATTTAGTTATTCCAGTGCAACTCGGTGGTTGCCTGTCAACCCATAGGGCTTCCTTCAGACTGATATTTTCCATTCCAATTCCTTAGTATTGACGCTACTTTATACACCTGTAGGAAGCGTTTTCATTCCGTGCTCTACTACCATCATGCAGAATTCTTGGTTTTGTTTCAATCCTCGTTCCGAGTTGTTCAAGCAAATAGAAAAATGCTGGTATTGTCGATAATGCGCCGACCTGACAAAACATCGAGGAGAAAAGGAACACTGACAAACCGGCACACTTCGGCACCACCTGCTGTTCACCTTCAACCAAGGATCGAGTGCCACAAAAGCCGGCAGGCAACCACCGAGTTGCACTGGAATAACTAAATCTCAAAATTAAACGAGACAAGCTTTTAGGGAACCTAAATGTGGAATGTTTAGTAGAGGTTATGAGTAAGTTATAGTTACATTATTGATTGATTTCTTCTAGGGAAGTATAAAGTTTAGGTCAGCTGTCGGTTTGGCGCAAAAATTCGTCGTCTGAAGCTCCCACTTTGCATGCCTAAAACTCAAACAATTTGCAACAATCAAAAAAAGGGTACATACCTTCTTGTAGAGCAGATAATTTCCTATCGAATGGTATATGAAACATTGTAAAACATTAGAGGTTCACAAGAAAAATTTCCGTTTGAAAAAATGCGCCACTACTTATGAGACAACCTAATATATATGGAAGAAAGAATGAAAGGAAAATAGAGGGAAGTTTTACGGTTTCCTGGAAGTTATATACCCCCGCGCTCGACGGTGTTTTTTTGAGGGAAAAAGTGGTTGTGAAAGAGGGGGTCGTATGAAACTTCTCGTGAAGGAGGGGGGTCGTAAAAATTTTGCAAAAGTACCAACGATAGGACCGACCCTGCGTGCGGCGTGCTTTTCCGCGTATTCTCGCTTCACTACCTTCTGTGTCTCCCCGTCGGGCTACGGCCGGCTTTACAGAAAGATTGAGCGCGTAATTTTCAAGCGATTTTCAATGAATTCTTTGGCATTCTTTTTCGCTTTCTATCATCTCCGCACCACCTTCATTATTGAGCTTTTACCCACGAGCTTTCCCAGGGGCGTGTTTTAAAGCGCCCTGAGCTATCGTGGCAATTTTCAATTTACGTGTAACTCTACAATGTACATTCTCACCATTCCCTTGCATGCTTAACGACTGAACGACTTTTTTGACTCCACCGCGTAAAATAAATTAGAACAAGTTTAAAGAATAACATTAAATTTCAGAAACAACATCGTGATCAAGACAATAATAAAAACGGAATGATTTGATTCAATTTGTTTCTTCGTAAACACAATAATTTCATTGCTTACAGAAAGGATCAAAAAGTCGTTTTGTCGGCGAGCTGAAGCTGATCTCGCTTGAGACCGGTGCAGCTGTTGCCACGCTCAAGTACGAATTGCACACTACAGAGCAGTTGGGAAGAGCCATAACAAGCTTCCAGGTAATTACAATAAAAATATCATGTTACCTGTTCAAAACAAAGAGATTTTTTCCAGCGCTTATCATTTTTCACTTATTTCCGATCTCTTGGCTTTCGAAACTCTGAAAACCCGAAGACCGTCGTTATCAAGGTTTAATCACAAGCTTCTTTCAGAAAGCTGAATCAGCGCAAAAGGTCCTTCCTATAGAAATTCCTTTCGATAGTGGACCATTCGAAGAGCTCACCGTCATGGTGCACAGGTGTACGGGTCTCGATAATCTGAAACGAGGTTAGTTCTCCGAAGCTATGATTATTGTAAGGCTCACAAACGAAAGTGAGCGAAAGCAAAGACAAATTCAAAAACTACGGAAAACAAAATTCTGCGTAAAAAAACGAAAGAATAAAAAAAGCAGCTGGGTGTGGTCAGGGAATGCAGCAAGGAAGCTTCAATGGTATGAAGGCAGAAATACCTAGTGTCCGCGTTTTTAGCAGAATCGCTTGGTTGTCCTCTTTTGACCCAGCTTTTTCCTAAGGTTTCTGTTTCTCAAAAGAACAAAAAGTAGTAGAAGAATTGATTAGAGCTTCGGCGTCGACCAATCATTTTTGGAATGCGCCACGCTTCCTGCTGCCATTCAAATTGCCATGGCAAATTGGGTGCGGTCCTAACAATGACGAGCGGGGCCAGCCGATGTATGTACTAGCAAGTGCTTTTATGCTCTCACAAAAGTATGACACCAATTAACCTTCCAAGGAGGGGTGGAAGGTTTTGTTGGCCTGGGTACGATTTGATCCGTGATTTGATCCCCGAAAGCCCGGAAGGTGATGTCCTTTGGAAGATTGAATCTACGCCACTTCCGCCCTAAAACAGAACATTATTTCGAAATTGCGTTTCCGTCTAGGTACACCCCCTACTTTTTGTTTTTCTTTTCTACATAGACTTGTGGCTTTTAAGCTTATTTTTGCCTTCGTTCAGGTTGGAAATGCCATACGATTTCGATGATTTAGCCTATAGTTTGACTCCACTCCTTTGGTAGAAATTTTCGGTTCTAGGTGAGCTTGAAGTATGCGTCATCTACGAGTTCTTCTCATTCTCGCCATACTTCACAAATTATGTGACGTCGTCAAAAACAGCGATTCAACCTGCGATACGTGCTGGCGGTGCCCTCGAAGCGCTCCCCCGTCCTAACCTCTGGAAACGGTATTCCACAGCACAAACGTCTTCACACATACTCCATATTGACACTTTGAGTTGAACGTAGAGCGAAGAATTTCAGGAGATAACATTTTTCCTTTTCGAAACACCGAACAGGGGGTAGTGAAGACAAGGAGGGAGTTCTCTCTATGCTTTCCCTGCCGTTGGCTCCTCTACGTGAGAACAAGCCTATTAAAGGGTTCATTTGAGATGGTTAAGGTGAGAATCTTCACTATTAGCTTAGAACTTAACTTTCCAGTTCTTCGACAAGTGACAACAATAAAATATGGATCAGAATCGAGACTCCAATTCCATTAAAATCAAATGAGTTCGACTATGGAATCCCATGTAGATTTACACACAGTTACACAACGTGTTTGTCATTCAAAGATTCACAATCCTACATCCAAAAAACCTTCACAAATAGTACTGTTACTGGGTTCTGCTATCGCTAACCACCAGTTCCGCACTTTGTGTTGCGCTTGATCTGTAATCCCTTGGTTGCCTTTCCACTACCAACGACGTCTGAGCGTCCAAGTCGCCCCACTCTTCTGCAGGCTGTTCACTGCCTTTGAGGTCGACGTCCCTGAAAGACACGTTCTAAGAATAGGTCAGTGAAGTGGAGCTCAAGCACCAGAAAGGTCGAGGGTTTGGAGAGCACATAGGCGTATCAACCCCACGGCACAAAACTGCAAGATGAAGGCGCCATAATTTCCTGTGTAGATGGAAGTAGAGAAGCGTCAGGTCATGGGATTCCGCCCTGCACCCAAGCTGCGCATTACTTTCTACGTAGGTCTACCGCGCTCTTGCTCGTTACACGCTCCCTCGTTTCTGGTGAGTCTCCCTCTCGGCAACACCTTTGATCTAGCTTGGCTCCAAGAGTTCTGCACGCTTCGAGAGAAAAGTGCTGGTGCTTATTCTCAGTGCTTTCTTGACTTGTTTTTATTTTTTCACTACCCGTACACTTCCATACGCAAAATCACACCATACCAGTTTGATCCTGGAGAGTCCCAATTCATAACCTCACTTACTGTGATATTATTGAGTTCCAACTCCTTTTGAGGTCGGTTCGCTTAAAATAGATCAGGATTCAGGCCGATGGCTCAGATTGTGGCGTATATTTGGATGTCACTGTGATGTGGAAGCTTGGGCTCAGCCCAACAACATCCAAAAAGACTCCTTCCAACGCAGAAACTCAGAAAGCACCATCGAAGGAGGTTTGAAGTTGTTATGTTTGCTGAGCTTCTGATTTTTTTTCATGAATTTAACGATCTTTACACCGCCTAGAGAGCCATACCACTATTCTACAACATATTTTCATATAGCATGATATGATCTATGATCCGTGGTCTAGCAGTCAGACTGGCAACATAGCGCCAGGTATCAAGTTGAAACCGTGACAGTACTACAATGGTCGATACCCCCTCCCTTCCTCTCCCTCCCGCTCCCCCTGCATAGCAGCCTAACTCCTTCCCTTCGCCAGCTTGTGAAGAAAAACATTGCAAGCACTTTTGCTGAGTACGGCGGCGGCAATTTGCTTCATAAACTATCCCGCCAAGAGTCTCTGAATTAGGCTAATAACGGTCGAGGAATTTCTAGACCATCGCTCTCTGCTATGCGAGAGTAGAGCCGAGTAGTGAATGTACGCGCGGAGAGCACAGACGGCTCGCGGGTGGCGAGAGTAAATACCCGCGCGCGAGAACGTAAAGGATCACACGAAAATCCTCGACGTGACTCTAGGAACCTTAAAGGCAAAAGTCGGGCTCAATAAGGGGGTATTATGGCGATTGAAACTGAGTATAGAGATGCGAAGTGGAACGACAGTGGAGAAAAAACTGAGAAAAACCGTCGACAAGGCCGTTAACAAAACCCTCTTTCCCACTAGCAGTGAAGGAGGCTGGCTTGGGGAAGAGGCACGTACAAACAAGTTTTCTGGAGATGTCAGTCGTTCTATCGGTTGATACGGCAATCAACCTAGCTGATTTCACACGTTATGCCAGCCACGCACCACTTCCGGAGGTGGGCGGTCCGGATTGACGAGGGGTCCCGGATTGAAACCGACGGCCCCGGGGGCTTAACGACGTTTTTCAAGGTGGAAAGTTGCTGCAATGTGTGCAGCTACCCACATACAACCTCCAGGCACGGGAATTACTTCTCTAGCGTGTCTGAGCCCGACCTTTGCCTTTAAGCAATATTTCACCCTCCTAAATTGGCGAGAGCGTAACTAGGCATAATTGCACATTTTGCTTACGAGCTTTTACCTTGGTTTATTTATTGACAGGAAATACATAATTTCATCTAGAGCAAAGAAAAGTGTATATAGCGATTCCCGCTGCAAGCGCTTTCAAGTTAACAAGAGCAGTCCCATTACGAATACACTAAATGAACGAATTCTTCGACGTTGGCCTGGCTGCAACACGGAGTAGCTCCTCTAGACCGTTTCGGCATTGTGTCGTAGACAAAAAATTGTGCGTTTTAAAATGGCAAGTGCTACATTAGTACGAGTTTTCCACGGAAAAATGGGCGTGTCGGAAGGGAAAGGTGAATGGACAACATTTGAAAGCAAACTATACATGCTATTACGTTCTAACCGTATTATCAGATACATTAGGACAAAAAAATCTTCACTGTATAATATTTGAAAAAGTTTCAACTAATTTTCTAATATTCACATTCAGTACAGTAAGGTGAAAACTTGCTTCAGCTGAAAACAAACGTAAACCCCTTTTCGAAACTCTTATCCTTTCCTCCAACGAAAAAGTGACAGAAAATTCCGCAATTTTCTTAAAACAACCCATTATTAATGCTGAGCAACGCTACGAGTGCAGTTCAAATTGTTCTCATAGCTTTTCCTGAAGTTCCCACCGTACTTTATTTTGCACGGTACCCCAGCTAATGGTCCAAAAATATTGTGGCACGGTACCCAGGTGAGATGGGTCAACATTCCACCTGAGGCCCCTATAGGGTATCCGAGGTCTCGATCACGAATATGACATCCATTTAGCGCTAGCGAAAAGTGGTGATATCACTGTTCCCACCTAACTCGCTGTAAACTTCCCTATAGGGGTTACTTGGATCCCTCCTCCCCCAACCCCGCATCAGGGTTTAATAGTGCAATAGAGCCTATTTTCTATAGGCGAAATGCTTGTTTTGAACAGTCAATCTGGAAAATCTAAATACACACACCAGTGGATGAGTGAATAAATTTGAATGAGCTGCACTCTTTAGGAGAAACCACCGGAACCTCGTCCAGCTGTGCCGTCGCAGATTTCAGTGGACAACATCCGATCAGCCAGTTCTTCGCTAGAAGACGACTATTCACCAGTTTCCGTCGTCAGCCCAAAAATACCATCAGTTGCGGAAAGCATCGAAAGGGAAGGCGCTGTTTCGGAGCGAGAAGAGTACGAATTGCTATCCTTTTTTCCTGATTGTCACCAATTTTTATCTTTTACCGCATCGTTCCTTGTTCTCAAAATGCCAAAAACACGGGAAACCACCGAGGCGATCCTCCAGGGTGAAGCAAATTCACTTCCCTGATTTTCTACTGAACTGCTTCATTTAGGATTGAAACCGTGTCAGTGAAGAACACGTCGGCCCGGTCTTTCCGCCTGGCTAACTCTCTAGCGACAGAAGACTGCATGAAGAGATTGAGAAGGCGTCACGTCATCTGTCCGAGGCACCCATCTCAAGCCGAGCCAATGGACACGCCTCGGCCTACCACCAATGAATCCGACCACGACTTGCTGACACCAAGTGAGTCTTCAGCAGAGCTTAACTATTTTTGATTAGTTTTTGTGTGCTTGTCAACTGTTGTTTTAACGCCGCAATTCGCGTTGCGAATGTTCCAAGAGAATGCTGAGTTTTAGGTGAAACTTTCACCCGGGCGGAAATCGAACCCGGATCATTTACACCAAAAGTATTACCCCTTACTTTTGGTACAAGTGATGGCGGACGATCCCCCTCTGGTGCGAAAAATGCCTATAACTCAGGCATATGTAACGTTTCAACTATTTTTGTCGCTATTTTCCTGAATAGTCTTTTCAGCAGACAAAAATGAAACTGAAGACGTCTCGCGCGGGCCCAGATGAAGCGGATGGAGAAGGAGAAAGCCAGAGATGAGATCAGGAGTCTTCTCGGAGACCTTCCTCCAATCGCCAAGCCGCGATTGACAAAGGTATGTTTCCTCCAAAGGATTTGCTATGGACAAAGTCGCGAGTTTGCGATGAGCAAGCAGCCCATTAGTCAGGGTAGAGATGGCCAGGAGCAGTGACGAAACTGGGACTGACCCCAGGAACCGCGTATTCTTGGCCTTATTTCCGCATGGGTGCGAATTCTCATTCGGTGGCCGCCCTCTTCGACGCTCGACGTCTCTTACATAGAAGGCTAGACACTCGCGGCGGAAGTGATGTAGCAACAGTCGATGGGGCGTCCGCGCCCCTAGAGCTCTGGGTAGAAGCCATGCTTGGCGGCAGTTGGCATATCTTCGCTGCAATTAGCCTGTGGGTCTGCTCCTTTAAAGCAACAGTTCAGGGAGGGTCCGAAAATTTCAATGCCACTACTACTGAGGGATACACGAGCCCTAGTGAAGAACATATGCAGTGGAAATAATAAACGAACTTACCTCAGAAACTCAAAAACAGGGTGGAAAGTCCCTCAAACATGGGTGTTCTTGGGGATTTCCCCAATCCCGCCCCCTTGCCGGCCGTCATTGGACGCGTCGGCAATCGTGCTCGTTTTGGGACCACAGGGAAAATTGATTGAAAAATGGAGCGCGTTTACAGCGGGCACGTTCAGACAACTCGTCCAACGTGCGTCTTTATCCATTGCTGAGCGGCAGAGGGAGAGTACCTGTCTAAGACCCTCCCCGACGTTTTTTTCCAGTTTTTCATACATTAATCGTCTGGTTTTCATCTACAACTTCATTATTGGTGGTTTTTTCCCGCGAAACCGTTCCTGAACTGTTGCTTTAATAGCGTTCTTATCTTTCCCACTAGGCAAGTTTCCCTTCTTCAACTTCCGACTTTGGCGTGGAATGCCGTCCCTGTGTAAGCAAAAAACAGAACATGGCAGGGTCGACGAGCAACTGACCATATCATTGGTAGAGCTTATAGCTATCTCCGAATCCGAAAATGAAACAAAAAAAAACGGCATTGGTTAACTTCTGCACCATGCATTCAACTAGCATTCAGAAACGTAATGGCATATGAATTTTTTGCTATGTGGAACGTAGACCTAGTGTTGGCAGGAGTAATTCAAAATTGATTCTCCGATGCTTCTCCCTAATTTTCAGGCGCCGTCAGAATTCTCGAGTTTCCCGCTGTTCAGAGATCAGGCAAAGCAAGGAAGTCAGCGATCGAACAGTAGCACAGAAAGCGCCAAAAGTGACGATACCACAGTTGAGCGACACAGAAGCGTCGTGTTCACAGATCCGCTGCATAGATCAATTCCTCGTGCCAGACAGCTGAAATGACGTAGAAACCTTGTCCATAATTTTGAAGTACTGTACAACCGGCTACTATTGAAGGTGATATGAGAAAAGTTTCAGCCAGCGAGGCGTCCTCAGCTTCATCTCCTCCTCCAAAACCAGCTGTTCGGCTTCCTGTCAGCGGGGGAAGAAGCGCTATACGAACCAGACAAGAAGTTCGACAGGAAGAGGTTTGCTTCCTTTCACAGAGTTAGGTCTTGTCTGTCGACAGGCACCATGAGTGACAGGTTCTAAATATTGACCAGTGCTTACGAATTAGCAAACTAAGGGCAAAGAAAAGTACTCTGCTGGACAGGGGGACTATAACCACTCGCACAGGAATGCTGAGTTGTTGGCAAAACTTTCGCCCCAGCCGGGATTCGTACCCGGATCTCTTGCTTTCCGGGCAATTGTGCTACCAGTTACACCACCGGGGCACCATTTCACCCCAACTCAGCTTCGATGGTGAAGTTACCATAGCTTCATCAGCATTCACACGTATAACGTGATGAACCGGTATTCAATAAAAACAATTCAAGATTCTATTTCTGACCTTATTGTTCACTCAGAAAACCATTAACAACTTTTATTCCTAAGATTTTCAGGACGCATCCGACTCAGACGAGAACCGAACAGTGTCGATTTTTATTGATCGGATCTACATTCCTGAATTTTCTCGCCTTCTTCATCCCAGTTACGACAATGTGAAAGTATACGTTGATTGGTGAATTTTGTTCATACTCTTCTACTCAACCTCCAAGATTAACCCTAATGACCATTAGTAGAATTGCCGGCTTTTTCGAGGCATATGCATGCGTAGCAGCTATACTTCCCGATAAAATTGGCTGCAAAAAAAAAATACGAATCCAATAGTCGAACTTACTGCTCCACCCCCCGAATAACTCCTGACGACATCATTCGACTACATTTTGAGATGCGCCACATACCCAAATCAGAATCGTAGCGTTTGAATGAGGTTTAGCCTGTGCAATAAAGTCCATTGAGTTACAAAACGTTGTATGAGCCTTAGCAGACAAGCCAAAAAAGCCTAAGTTGACAGGGCCAATTAATGCATAAATCCAAAAGTTCCTTTTTGATCTCCTTTTCGAGAGAATCAATGACAGATGATAATTTGGAATTGCAGGTTCTTCTTGGACTACCCACTTGAAGAATCGAGAACTCCGGTGGCGATTCCTCTTCCGCGGATTCCGGATTCACCTGGACTATTTGTGTATAAGAAAGGTTGGGAAAAACTGTTATATCAGTCGCGTTTTGCCCTGAAGATTAAATTACTAGGTACTAGGCGATCGTGAACAAGAACCACTCGCATTTTAAAAAACTCACCAAATGTCTCTGGAAAATACTTGAGGGCAGCTGTTAGTGAAAAAGCCAAGAATTTAGCTACAAAAATATGTAGACTTGCAAGAAGGAAACGGGGACTGATAATGAGCGGCTGAAAGGACTTACTCAGCCAAAAAATTTCCGTTTTCCAGCTTGAGACCATTTCCCAAGTCACCACGTTCTTTACCTGTGCGATCGCCCCCCCTCCTCCACTCTAATGGTACCCATTTTCACAAAAGAGACCGTCTCCCCTAGTTGATGAACGTCGCATCTGGTCTTGGAGGAATCACTAGTGCAACATTCCCTGATCTCTAACACCTAATTATCATTTATTCTTCCCTTAAAAATTATCTTTAGTCCATCTTCAAAAAAAAAAACGAATACAGTTCTCTCATCAATCTCACATCCGCCATTTTGGTATAGTTTCCATGACATTACACAGAACCGCAGCCCTGTGGAATGTTATAGGGTAGCCACATTCTAACTCCTGAAGGTGGAGCGCACGAGTAAAAGGAGCCCATTGGAATCAAGATCTGTGGTCAGTGGTGCTGGGATGAAGAAAAAAGCCATGGGATACCCCAACCAGAGCCCTATAAAAGAAATTCCTTTCTTGAGCGCTGATTTCCGCTTTGATGCGACTCTCATCGGTGCTGCCCTCTTCAACGCTAACGCTCTCTCTGCTAACGGCTAGAGACCTGCGGCGAGTGGTTAGCCAGTCGGTGGGCGTGCCGCGCCGATAGCGCCGCGGAGGATCATGCTAGATCGGCAAGGGGCATATCCTTCGCTGCGAATTGCGTGTCGGTCCGCACCCTAGGGGGTCCGCCTGCCTTTCCATTAGAAAGTTTCATCTACTTAGACCACCAACCTTATCCTGAAATCCTCCTTTAATATTATCAAGAATTTTTTGAGCGTTAAAAATATGAAGGAGTAAATGGGTCTAGTTTACTGATGGTGAGCTGGGTCATTTTGCTGCTGAGCACCCAATCCGTTTGAAACCTCTGCACTTTTCCTTTTATTACTACCCTTTTTAAAGAGTTACTTCATCTTGTCTTCTTTCTACAGAAGGGGAACTAAATAGTTCACCTACCACAGAATTTATGTCACTGTAATTCGTGCAAACTATTGCACCAAATACCCATTTTATTGTTAGCAACATGGACTCTTGTAATGTTTGTTTACTGCCATCTTAAACATATTTTCAGAACGATTTACTTGAAGCAATCCAGCCTTTTATAATGTATTATACTTAATAATAATAATGATGATTTCGGCAAAACACTGTCAAACATTCGTGATTTCATTGTAGAGTTTCACCTGTCACGACGGAGGGTTGCATTACTCGACCAATGGTTAGAGCTTGGTAATCGTTTGGATTTCACGCTGGTAACAGAAGGAGATGACAGTGAAGAACTAGCCGTAGCACAACTTGAACTCAGCCGAACCGCTACCGATGAAACGACGACAATCCAGTGTAAGTGGCAGGCATTTCCTATTTACAGTTGATGGAAGAATTTGTTGTTATTTACAGTTCTGGACATCAACGGCGAGCACTACGCCGATTTGGATCTCGTCATCTCTTACTCACCACAGATTTTCGATTGTTTACGAGGTTGATGTGTGTTTGTGATCAGAGTTATTAGATAAAAGTTCACTTTCCTAATGTTGCTTGTACAACATAAAAGGATAAAGGATAAAGCATTTGCCGTTGATCAATCCCTTTTTGGGATGCGGCACGCATTCTACTTCCATTTGTACATTCGTAGTGGCGTTTGAATGCGATGTGGCCTATACAATGACTTGCGGGGGCCAGCCGATGTACAAGTCAGTGTTTTTATCCTCCCAGACAAGTCTGGTACCAATTAACCGACCCCGGAGGGATGGAAGGCTTGGTTGGCCCGGGCGACTCACGACCCAGGATTTGATCCCCGGACCGCTCGCGTGGTAAGCGTGCCACTTGCCACTACACCACTTCCGCCCTTGTACAAAATAGGAAAAAATAAACAAAATAAACTAAAGATATGGTCGAAGCGTGAGAAAGCGAAAAGGTTATTCGGTAAAATTTGCACTCCCTTTACTGCCCCATACTTTGGAAACTGAGCTGGGTTTCTCTCAAATTTTTAAATGAAAATGGATTCGGCAAAAAAGCTACCCAGCCGAGTAATTTGATCGGCAGAATACATATATCACATCCGTTAGACGCGTAA